AAACTCTGCCACGCGTGCTCACGCACCGTTCTAGGCCTGTCCCAACAACGCCTTGCACTTATATGTGGCCCATGCCTGGGGGATCCTATCGGTGTACAAAAGTAGGGGCCCTTCTGTACCCCTTTACTTGTGCACAAGCAGTCGTAGCCACGCCTATGGCCGGGCTCGGCAAGGTAGAGGAAGCGAAGACACAAGGCTGTCGAGGCAGCACCCAAGCCAGAAGCACAAAGACCAAAGAGACAAGATGGGCTTCCCCCCACAAGAGCCCTTGCCGAGACGGCCTACATGGCCCCGGCAAGAGCCTTGCCGGCGCAACTTGCCCAACACCAGCAAGACCGCCACCCTTGAGCCTGAGAGTTATGACACCATAGACAAGCATCAAGACCAAGGCTCGGAGTGCCTTGTGTGGTGATATGTAGACCTTTGTGGAAACTAAAGGCCTATGAGCCTAGATGAAAACCAGAAGATGAAGACCCCCGGCAAGATCTTGTCGGGGAAGACCGAAGATCCCCGGCAAGACCCTTGCCAGGGACACTCGCAACCCCGCCCCGGCAAGATCCTTGCCAGGGACGCCCACGAGATCCCGGCAAGGGCCTTGCCGGTGGCGTCTACGGAGCCAAATCCAGGCCCGCACTTATCAAAGCTTCGCTACCCCACGCCCGTTTTGACGTGGCGACCAGCCTACCAACTAGGCACACACTTGCGCGGCAGCATGCAGCTCCTAGGCCAACTAAGCAGGCACCTGCGTGGTGGCATGCAGATCTTTGTGAAGACTATGTCACCGCACCAGAGCAACCAGCCAACCAGCATGGCGCTACATGCCTCGTTAGCCTGGACATGTGTCGAAGCGAAGCGAGGCGGTGACGGACGGGACGAGCCTCTTCGCCGTCCCTGATAAAGCAAGAGGACACATAGGCGGCCCATTAAATGTGTTTGTCCTAGGATGCCAGGAGATAAACTTGTACACTGTACATACTTTCCACCTCCTATGCGCCACTGTGGCAACCCCTTTGACATATAAAAGGAGGCCCGAGGCATACTGAGAAAGGATTCAGACTTTTTGGACTGGGCATGCATCGCAGCTTGTTCAAGAACTCAAGAACACTAAATACACACAAAGCAGGACTTGGTTTTTACGCATCGCTTGCGGCCTGAACCTGGGTAAAAATCCCACCGATTTGATCTTCTAGACCCGCTCTTTGCGCAGCCCCATGCCCCGCAACCGTAGAAGGGATTCCGACAAGGGATCCCATAGGTGTCATTCCAGAACCCCGACATCAACCAAGCCAAGGATGCGCTGAGGTCACCGACGCACGCCGACGCACCCATCAATTCGACGGAGCCGTCCACCACGCCACTCGGCGGCCGTCTACTCGGACGCTCGGCGGCCTCTCTCCATCACACAGGGAGGTCCATGCCATAGACACCACCTCCCGCTATTGCTCTGAGATCGTTTCCTTTCCTGTGTCACCACTGGCGCCCATGGCCACCAACGACCTGACGTCGTCGTTGTAAGCCCCCTTCCCCCATGAAGGTAGCTCAGTCCCTCGCCTTATCTCTCCTCTAGTGGCCTGTGTGTTTTGGTGATTCGTGTACGAGTGTTGGATGAATGATGAGTGTTTGTGCTACCTTAGGCTAGTTAGACTAGTCACAGTGGGAGTAACTTCAGCAGTAACATCGAGTCCAACTCAGCAAATTTGCTTATGTGGCAATGAGTTAATGAGGAGAGAGGTAGTTGTAGTAACTTAGCTAGTTACTGTAACATCACATGTCCCAATGCATTATGAGTCTATAACCTAATAAATGAATCCTTGCATGTTACCACACTTAAGTTACTACCCACTATGAAGATAGTAACATAGTCTAGGGATACGTGTATGTTACTAGTGTATGTTACTCTTCATTGTGGCTAGTCTTATAGTGGAAGTAACATAGGTAATAACATGCATGCCACATAAGCAAAACATGTGATGTGACAACTAATTAAAAAGGAGAGAGATAAATAGAGTAACATAGCGGTTCCCAATGCTAAATGAGTCTATGATGTAATAAATGAATTGATGCATGACACTACACATATGTTACTACCCACTATAGAAGTAGTAACAAAGACTAGTAACATATGCATGTTACTAGTCTATGTTACTCCCCACCATGATCAGCCTTAATGATGGGTGTGTGCGCGCGCGGGGCGCTGGAGCGTAGTGTGTCTGATGGATTAGTGTGTGCTGGCTGCTGGGTACAGATTGTATACCAATCAATACATACCTGCAACCTGCAACCCTGCTGACGTACACCGTCATGGACGAGGGTATGCGCCAGGAGGATTGCAGGCAACGTCAATATGATAGAAGACTTGGTGGGGGCGGCGGCCTGCAAGTGGCGTTGGGATGCGGAGGTTGGGGGTGGTCGGCGGCGGCCTACAGGTTGGGTCGACTACGATTATTGACAGCGTCGGGATGCTGGAGCCTGGAGGCTGCGGACGACTACGTGTAGATGAATCATATTTTAATTAATTGCCTGAATCGTTACAATTAAAAGTTAGAAAGGACAAAGTTTCTCCTAATTAGGAATTATCAAGACCGTTGGATTAACTTAATATTACACATTACATTAGATAGTATGACATACTGTAAAATATCACAAAAATATGCTTCAACTTTATGAGAGCGGACGAGCTCGTCTAATCATGAAATCGCCAACCTCTGTTCGCGTCCGGATATGGGTCCTATGAGGTATTGCCGCTAGTATATCTGTATAGGAATAATTCCATTTCTGCCCCTAACTGGAACCCACTACTCAAATTTGCCCTTAATTTCAATGTGTGCTCAAATTTGCCCCCCTGCCGTTAGTTGCCCTTATAGAAATGTCCTTCTGCACCGTTATCGTCCGGTCAAACAACTTTGACCATCTCGAAAAAAAATTGTAAAAAAATCAAAAAAATCTGAAATTTTGTGCGATTGAAGCTACTCATGTGCGCAAGGTGCGTGCAAATTTTCGTACTATTTAGACATACCAGGAGCTCATGGCAAAGGAAAACAATAAATCTATACATCTTTGAATAGTAAATTCAAAAAAAATAGCAAGAAAATTCAAAAACATATGAATTTTTTTGGCATCCAAGATGCTCGGGTGCACAAGGTGTGTGCAAAATTTTGTTATTAAATGACATGCGAGGAGCTCTCGCAAAAAAAACCAAAATAGTGTATTTTTTCCAAGTTTTTTTTTCTAAGACAAATTTTGTTTTTTTCTCCACGAGCTCCTACAATGTCCAAACACAACAAAATTTTGCACACACCTTCCACACCTAAGCATCTTGGATGCCAAAAAAATTCATATTTTTTAAATTTTTTTGCTATTTTTTTAAATTTACGGTCCACACGCGTATATATTTACCGTGTTTCCTTCGCCACGACCTCCTAGAATGTCCAAACAACATGAAAATTTGCACGCACCTTGCGGACCTGAGTACCTTCGATCCCACAAAATTTCAGATTTTTTTGAATTTTGTTGCTATTTTTTCAAGATGATCAAAGCTGTTTGACCAGACGGTAACAGCGCAGAAGGGCATTTCTATAAGGGCAATTAACGGCAGAGGGGCAAATTTGAGCACACATTGAAATTAGGGGCAAATTTAAATAGTGGGTTCCAGTTAGGGGCAGAAATGGAATTGTCCCATCTGTAAATGGTCCGTCCAAAGTAAGTATTCAAGGTCATATAGCAGTATGGTAGAACCGCGTGCACAACAACTTTCGCTCGGTGCATGACAATCACGATGTCTTGTGCCAGTATGTATTGATGGTTCGTGTTCCTATAAAACTCCACGACTGTGCCACACCAGCAAAGATATTTTATGGACCTCCCATATTCGCATGCCCCGATCCCTAATTCCAGCAAGAACCCTAGCCGCTGCAAATGACCAACGCAAACCAGGCTTCTGATCCTGTCGCTCTCCCCATAGTACGACCTTGTCTGGACCGTGGAAGGAATGTAGTGACATGCGTCGCATGCTGCGGGCAGAACACCAGAGAGAGGTTCTACAAGTGCTGAAATCACAACCTTGAGGCATGAGTTGGTTCCAAACTTACTTTCGGGCAATTCCAGCAATAATTCAACCCAAAGCCCGGACTCGGTGAGCACAATGAACAATTCCTTGATTTGAAGAAAAGAGTTAAAAAAATTCCAATTTTTGTGCGGTGCAAGATTCTTCTGTTCGTGAGCTCCATGCAAAATTTTGTGAAGTTTGGATCTCCGAGGAACTCGTGGCAAAAAAGACAAAATCAAGTGTGAACAGTGTGATTTTCAAAAGTTTCTCAGACATCCAAAATTTGTCTTTTTTGCCACGAACTCCTCGGATATCCAAACTTCACAAAATTTTGAACGGAGTTCACGCACAGGAACATCTTGCACCATAAAAAAAATTAGAACTTTTTGAACTTTTTTCTATTTCAATTCACGGTACTGTTCATGCCTTGGCTCATCTGAGCCCGGGCACCAAATGGCCGCTTCCGGAAAATAGCTACTGTCCCTTGTTTTGGTCATGTCTAAATGCCTTTCCGTTATATCACTTGCAGAGCTGCTAGCCTTCTTATGCCTTTTCTATGTCATGTGTCATATTTTTCTGTTACAAAGTCGTGCCACATTATAGACGGTGATTGTGCATGTCTAACTTCATTGCGATTCACGTCGTTGTCATTGCTTTTTTTCATAAACAAAATGTACTGTGACATAAGGGGTTGACGGAATACCCTGCCATCTAAGGAGAGACGCGCAAGTACATATTTCCTGATAAAATTTCCTGAAGTATGTGCTCTCTTTGGACACGTGGTCAAGCCACACAATGTTTTGCTAGTACAGTCAAGGATCAACACATCTCATTAATCATGAAGAACTACCATGTATTTAATAATATTGGAAGAAAATGATTTCAGTATTTCCTATATTTTTGTATGGTAAGTACATGAATGCATGAACAATTGCACACTATTGATTTGATATATTTAAGATGTATCCGTGACAAAGTCTTGTATCACAGTTCTTACTGCGACAGCAATCCTAACTGGGTGGGTATTTCCATCTGACCATGTCAAGCTCCCAAAGGTAAACCCGCCTTGCACTCTCCGCCTTGTAGTAAACGACACCCTAAATGTCATGCTTGTGCTACTACCTTTGGCGAATGTGACCATTGATGGCTCCACGGACATGACCACCCATGCTGGAGCTTCAAGCACCGCACGATAAGTTGTTCCGACCGCCCCCACATTTGTGATAGTGCGTTGAACCGTGACATGGTCCTTGAGGTCCGGAATAGCGATCGACGGGAGATTGAGATTGAGTTGGTAGGATTCGCAACCATGTAACAATCCTATGGTACAGTTAAAAAACTTGTTGTACTCTCTTGCATCCACATTGTAAACCAAGCCAGGGTCACTAGCTCTGTCTGGGTTTATGTGGCCACCACCAAAGTCGAAAGGATCAGCCACCTTCCTCGGGACCGTCTCTGCTTCGATCGGCGCACCAAAACCATCGGTCACTGACGCTAGAATCATCACAAAGAAAAAAGTTAGTAATATAAGATAAACTAGCTAGAAGAACCTTGCATATAAACATTGTGCATACCTGTGGTGACAATTGCAGACTTGATCATAGCAGGTGACCAATCAGGGTGAATCGACTTAAGCAGTGCGGTCACCGCAGAGACATGTGGACATGCCATGGATGTACCAGAAAATAACACATAGGAGCCACGAACAGTTGCTAAGATGCTAACACCCGGCGCGGTTATGTCGGGCTGTCAAAACATCCACAGAGATAAAAGTCTTAAATCCGAAGATGGTCACAGAAGTTAGTTAAAAAGCACCGCAAGTATTTGCGCAAAAAAGGGGGGACCGCAAGTGCAATTATTTTGTCTTTGAGTTATAAATTTCACAGTGGGGGTACCTTGAGTATGCCTGGATATAGGGGGCTCGGACCTCTGGAGGAGAATGAAGCAACCCTCGGTGATAGCACCCCGTCTCCGACAACAATCATGGTAGGTGAGACCTTCACAATGGGATTCCTATCATGACAAAAAACATTCACAAATTAGTTATTGGAGAAAGAAAATATATGAAGATTGACCCTGTTCCAGACAACGCGACTTCTTACTCTGTGTTCTCCCAGTAAGATGCAATTTTCTGTGCGATTTCGTAGTCTACCACAACGCATGGCATGCCGGCCTTGCACGCCGTCAGGGAGTCCAAGCTGTTCATGTTGTACTACGCGAAGATGAGGCCCTTGGCTCCGGCACTCACGGTACGGTTGATGGTGCGGGGTAGCTCTACCCGAGGCAACACGCTCGGAGCCTCCCTCGGTGCATAGCACAACACGATCTTGCCGGTCACATTGCTTGACGCTAACCACTCCTTCGTGCAGCTGCGCAAAAGTTTTAAACTGAATATGGTTTGATAAAATGTGGAACTAATAACAATCTAACTTGTCAATTGAGTGTGTTATGTCGCTTCCTTCCTGCATGAACAAGCTCCTTAAAGTCGTCGCTGTTCAGAGTAGAGTTGTAGTAAAGAGATTGTCCCTGCGTTTAAGATCAAATACAAATGAGAGAGTAAGTTTTTCTTTTTCAAGAAAGTTAAATGAACGCCTATACGATTATGTTTCGGCGCACGCTAATTTGACACTTGACGTATCATACGACTTCCCGCCAAAAAAGAGTAAAACCTATACGATTATGGTAAGTCAGTTGTCTTCTTTCAACTAAAAACAGTTTGTTAGTTAACTTGTACCTAGCATATGTAATGATGTAAATTATCGACTTTTATCTTGCTAGGATGTTTCTATTCCTTGAGAGTGGACATATTTGGGTGCATTTTCCTATATATTTTTTAAAAAAGGAAATATCAAAACAAGTACTTGAAGAAACGTACATACCACAAGCTTTTCTTTGTTTCTGAGAGATATGAAGGTTGGGAAGGCCCGGTCCATCGTGCTAGCGGCCACTGTCGTGACCCATGGCACGACATTCGTCACCGTTTGTGGTGCCGGGCCATCATTCCCGGCAGAGAAGATAACTGAGATCCCTCTCAAGACAGCATGAAGTGTCCCAGGGAACTCATGACCGGCACCCCTTCCCAGTGAGAGCGATAAGACATCTACACCATCGTGTATGGCATCGTCAATGGCTGCGAGGATGCTCGCGTCACTGGCTGCTGTGTTCGGGCCCCATAACACCTTGTAAATTGCTAGCCGTGCACGTGGTGCCCCGCCATGTGCCATGCCGGTGGCTAGGCCCGCATAGCTCACATCCTGCACTTCTCCTCCGGCAATCGTCGAGGCAACATGAGTGCCATGGCCGCTGAAATCCCGAGGTGACATGTACTCACCCTTGAGGTGAGGGGTTGTGTGCGGCGTCCCTCGCGTTCCTCGCGTCGCCACCGCCCTGGGCGACTCGGGGGCTCTCCAACCCTAGGGCCGCCGCCGTCCTCTCCTTCTCCCCTCCTCGCGCCGCCACCGGGTGACGCCGCCGGGTGAAACCCGCGTGGCAGACGGCGGCGGCGGGGGGACTCCCTCTCCCGACTCCCCTTCCTCCGCGGGCGGCGGATCTAGGCGGCAGGCGGCGGTGTCCTGCGGCGCTCGCGGTTTGGCACGAGGTGGCAGGCCTCGGCGAGCGGTGGCGGGGCGCGGGGCTGATTCCGGGGCGGCGGATCGGGCATGGATCCATCACGGATCTGATCCTGCGGGCGCGGTCTCGGCTTCCCCTGCTCGGCCGGCAGGTCTCGGTGGGAGGCTTCTCCGTGCTGAGGCAGCGGGATCATCCAGATCCCGGCAAGGATGGCGGTGACCCGTGCACGAGGAATGGAGGTCTTCGATCAGATCCGGGTGAAAACCTGCTATTGGCTATTGCCAAGGCCGGCGATGGCGACGCTGTCTGCGTCGTTCCCTCCTGAAGGCATCGTCGTGGAGAAGTTCAAGGCCACTCTCTGCTACATCCGGGGGAAATCCTAGATCAGTAGATCGGATGACGGCGGCTCTCTGGTGTCGTTTCCCCCCTGGGGGCGTCATTCTTGGAGGTGCACACGGGCTCGAGGGACTAGAGGACGACGACTTTGGTGGTGCGGTGCTTCATCTTACACATTGATGGTGGCGGATCTCGGCGGCGTGGCGCTGTGGAGACTCGGCGTCTGATGCGTGGAGATGGACTCGTGCAGGAGGTGGAAGCTGTTTGGCGTCATGGTGGCGTTGATGGCAGATAGGCCTGGCAAGGTCGGTGCAGCAGTACAACTCTAAAGATGGATTGGTGGCAGGCGGCTGCGGCGGCCTCATACCCGGCAGGGGTCCTGGTTGAGAAGCACGCCGGACTGGTGGATGCCCATACCAGGCAGGCGTCCTGGGTGGGACCTCAAGTCTTTAGATGTTTAGGTTTGGCTGCGTGGTCTGTTTGGTATTAGGCCCAGACTTTCAGCGCCCCTACATCAACTGGATAGGGATAGCGACAGTTGTTGCTTGTTTTGGTGGCTTTAGACTCATTGTTGTATGACTCTGTACGGTCTTGTGTCAATAATTAAAAAAATGGCCGTATGCATCGCCCAGATGCAGAGGCCGGGATCGTCCTCCTTTTCTACAAAAAACTCACCCTTGAGGTGCATGGCATTAATTCCCTCGGAGTACCACCGTGCGCCGATGATCTTTCTATTGCAACTCATTGCATTGAACGTTGTTCCGGTCTGGCATATGCCTTTCCACCGTGCCTGCACAGGGCCGTATCCGTTGTCATCAAAACTTCGTGATTCAGGCCATATGCCTGAAACAAAACCAAGCACGGAGTCAACCGATGTCCATTTCTAATGTCTGGCTTGGGTTTCAACAACTTCTGGATTTAAACTAGAAATTTGATTACAAACCTGAATCGATCACCCCGAAGATGATATCTTCACCGTAATTCGCTTTTCGGAGGAGGTCAGTTTGTTGTGGTGATTTGTTGTGTCCAAGGCCAAGGAAGTCCCAGCTTCGAGTTGTGTGCGCCTTGTGGTAAGTGTTAGGCTTCACACTTATAACTTCAGGAAATTCTACAATTGTAGTATCCAATGTGAATTACTCCGCAAAAAACATATAAAGACACCCTGCAAAGAAAAACATATAAAGACAGCAAATGTTTATCACTTACTTGCCAACGTCCTAGCTTGGGTTTTGGTGAGCATTGCCGCGAACCCAGAGAATCCGTGTTTGTAACTGTAAACTATCGACTTCAACGATTCATCTTTGCTGTTGCAGACAAGACATAATGTTAGCAACAGTACTAATATATAGTAACATGGATTACTAGCTAGCCAGTACCTCCCAAGAACGGAGGTTAGTATGTCATGGTGTGACGCCGTGACAGCAGATGGATCGTCATGTTTCTTCTCCCCCATGTACACTATGTGGAGCTGAAATAAACATGCGAAGAGAGGTCAAAAAACAATTTCAGAACAAGCCAAAGTTAAAGTCTTGCGAACAAGGAGGAATCATAACTTACTTTGCTCGACGCATTTGCGGAAAGAGGCAACAGTGTGACCACCAGTAGCAGAGCACAGCCAGAGAAAGCTATCCTCGAATCCATGTCTGATCTCGAGAAGAGTGTTATGTTCTTCTCTCCTGTCGCGTGTATGTATATATAACATAGGAGCCAGGTGCTATCCATGGGGTGCAAGAAGAAAGAAGAGTTCAAAAGAACATTGCGTGTTTCAAAAGAACACGTGATCGAGGAGAACAATCGGACTAGACGACCATGTCGTATCTACCACCATTAAACAACTTGAAACATACTTAATGACACGAGGTCGACCTGAAAACAACAAGCTTCGTTTAATCAGTGGGCATAAAATTATAAAATCAACCGTGGGGGCTGCAAGAACCGTTCAAACAAGGATATGTTTGCATTGTCAGCGTTAGGTGGTACACGTACCTGAGAAAGAAAGAGTACACCAAGGTCCTGAGAGGAAGCACCGTGCTCATCGGGCATCCAGGCCGCGTCCATGTCATGGCACCAGCGCATTGCTGGGTCTTTACAAAAAAAACGTTAGTAAAGTTGATAAAGGTGAAGGCAATTTAGAAACAAAAATTTGACCCATTGAAGCATTCCACGCGTAAAGATTGGTTTGGCTGGTTCGTTTCTCTAATAGCTAAATTCTTTTTTTTTGGAAGAACCTCTTCGAGAGAGCAGGGATTCCTGCAATTTCTATAAAAAGGATAGAAATGGTCCAGTGTACATGTAAAACTACGCCCAAAAATCTACACAGATGATGCAATTTATAAGAAAAAACTAACCCAAAAACCTACCAGAGCTCGAGGATTGTATAAAAACAATTCGTAGGTTCGGTTAGGGATATGAACAGAATAAGAACATCTACACCCGGGCCTCTTGTATCCATCTCAAATGTCCGGACAGGTCGTCCGGCCACTGACCGGTCAAAAAAAATTGACCTAACCAGACCTCTCAAATCACGGACAAAAGCCCGGGCTGACTGACACCCCTCATATCCAGCCCAAATATAGCGCGAATATGGGGCGGCCCGGGCACGCCCATGCGCGTCCGCTTGACAGGCCGAGCCCAACACCGACCCCACAAAAACCCTAATCCAGGCGGCGAGCTCAAACCCTAGCTCACTCTGTCCCCTCTCTCTC